AAACAAACTTCAATTGATCTGTTTGAACATTCTTAGTGTATTTTGGAGTGTTGGTTAACAGTTATTAATCTCTATGATTCAATGGAATCAGATATCAGATGATGCTACAATACCGCCCTCTGTCAAAATACTAAATTGAAATGTGTTACCATACAGAGGCATATTCATAACGAAAATAACATTTTGGGATAATTGAAATGCGCACAGCCAGAACTGTGTCTCACTGATTCATTAATTTTACAATATCAGCCTATATGATGTACTGTATGTCAAAGTTTGATCCCAAACATTCTAAAGTAGATGGATATTTGTTCATGTCAGATATGTCACCATATTAAGATCAGTTGTACATTTAAATAATTGAATATTTTTGATGTAACCTTTAGAGTGTCAGCTAACAAATATTATTAGTAATTAATAATGCATAAGGCAAGATGCATCATTAGAATTCCCATAATATCATCTGGGCCACAATGCCGCACTACATCAATCAATATCATCATAAAACTGAACAATAAAATGGAATACTTTTTGTGTTCAACTTACATCAGTTTGCTGTTTTCTTTCACGCAAGGTTAAATATACCTGAGAAAAGTATGTTTTATCTCCTTGACTTGTATGTCATTCCCTGACAGTTTAAAATCGTTTCATAGAGAACGTAAGCATTTATAAAGTTTTCATCTATGTCCTCTCATTAAATACCTTGTAACTATGTGTATAAACAATTACTTATAGTTATACAAGCAGATATGTGTTACTCAGATATGTGTTACTGAGGAAGTCACCCCATCATAAACACATATATTAACTGTTTGGACCCCTAATAAATAGCTTCAATGACCTAATGGTTCTAATGAAAAATATAATTTGTATTCATTTATTTTAAATGAAGGTCTCATTTTGTGTGTGTTTGTGTGTGTTTATGATTTTAACGTAGCTTTAAACAATTTTTCAGTCATATCACTACGATGTCTGCAGTGTGGCAGTTTATAGTGATGTCTAATACCTGACACCAGGCCGACCAGTCCTAACACTAACCTCTTAATACTGAGCGTCAAGCGAGGCAGCTGTTAGTACCATTTTTGTAAGTCTTTGGTATGACTCGACCGGGAATCGAACCCACGACCTCCTGCATCCGAGGCGGACGCTCTAACCACTAGGCCACCGCAGCGGTGGTCTCATTTTGACTTACAAAGATATTTTTCTGACACAATTGGACAAATATCCATCATTTTAGCTTGTATATGGTGCAGGAGTATATACATGCTGATAACATTCCCAATAGATATCGTATAAATGCCTTTTGGGAAGATAAATTTCATTTTATATGTTTTTTTTAAAATTTCATTTAAATTTTTAAGATACAAATTAATTTTTATTTTAATTTTATTATAATATGTTCAAAGTCAATATACATAAGATCTTAAATTTTCATGTGTCCATCATTAATAATGAAGATTTTATGGCAATTTAAACTTTACTTACTAATACTACAATGACTTGTCATAAAACACAATTTTAATATGTTTTCTTTTTTGTTTCTCAGTACTAAACTTTTCACTGTGTGACAACCAATGCAAATCATATATTAATCTAAAATGCCTTCAAAAATAACTTTTGGTGAAGTTCTTGTCAAAGGTTCACCGGCATTTATTTGAATGGCTTGACTGTCAATAAACCAACGTGCAATGGAACACAGATTTCATTTCCGGATCATCAACAAGACCTTATTACTTACTGTACACTATTGCCAAAAAACATACATACAACCACACGATAAGCTTATATTCTAAAGAATAAATTATTGACTTTAAATCTATACCATGTATGCTTGTATCACCACCAAACGGTGACAGGAATAAATGCTATAAAATAGACAATGACTATATTCGTGGGCTGAAATGGAAATACTAATTGTTTCCCGATGACAATTGTTACGAACTAGAGGAAATTTGTCTCGCAATTTTGTGGCATAAAAAGACCTTAACCGCAGTTTGAATGAGCCAGCCAAAGTTATTCTAGCAAAAACACGTCCTTGTTGGTCGATAAAACGGACACTTTCATTCACATATATGTGATCGCTTCATTTTGTTGTTCCCATCGTCCTTTTGGTTATGTGTACTACTGGAAAGCGAGGAAATCTCAGTTCAGGCAGCCAGCAGTGATTAGAAAAATATCCCCTCCAAAAGACATATAAAATTTAAAAAATCATTATGTCTTTAGATATTTCTCAGAGGCAACATTATGCCTCATGTTGCCTCAGAAATATACATAGAATTCATTTTGTAAGGAGAAAAATTTTCCCCCCAAAAGAGAATATTTTCCACCAACCACATATGAGTTTTGAGAATTGGTTCATTGTAGGATTATCCTCGAGGCGAAAAATAAAAATAAAATATAATTCGATGAATTTGGATCTCTGTTACCAATTCATTTTTGCCAAATAGCCGACCTGCTTCAAGTTTTCGCAATAGGAAATATATCATCATAGATAGGATCTGAATGGTTGAATTAAAAGTTGCTAAAGGTCTGTATGATTGATCTCAAAGTTGCTAAAGGTCTGTATGATTGATCTTAAAGTTGCTAGAGGTCTGTTTGATTGATCTTAAAGTTGCTAAAGGTCTGTATGATTGATCTCAAAGTTGCTTTTGGTCGATAAAGAAACCAAATAGGTCTATTTGAAACTTTCTTTTGGTCACATGGATCAGTATGGAGGCACAATAAGACATAGTCACAATAGGAACAAAGATGATATTTTCTACAACATAATCACTGAACCCATCTAACATATATATATATATATATATATATATATATATATATATATATATATATATATATATATATATATATATTCATTCTCAGATGTATATCAGGGATTTATTTCTGGACCATACATGAATGTTCCGAATGCAAATAGAAATGTCATTCTGATCATTTGTTTGTCCGAAGCATAAATAGGATGCATATTAATGATGTAATTTGCTGAAAAATATCATATATTTTTTTCTGGAAATGTTTTCGCAAAATGAAACTGCAATCATTTCGGACCATCGGAGCTATTTCTACAATGCGAATGACCGTAACACTGGTCGAGAAGTTACAAATACAAAAAAACAACAAAATAAAACAACAAATTACCCCTCCCCCAACAACAAAACAAAGGCCCCCTACAACAAGTACGATGCATTTGCAACTACCCAGTCAATCCATGTTTGATATATAAAAGAGCTGGTCCAAATGCCAGCTGTTGTCATTTGGAATATTCAGTTCTCTCTGATGCGAGTCGAATAACTTTGTCTATGAAATAGGCTCGGAGATAACCATAGTTATCCTTCAAAATGATAAGTTTTGATGGACGAAGATCCTGGTGGAGGTGCGATGAACAGATGCTTATACGATTGTTATTGTTGCTGTTATGGTGTTAATACCATTTCTCTAAGCAAAAGTCTGTACATGGCGGTCAGTATAACTGGTGCATGAAGAACTAGTGACCTAGGGGAAGCTACTAGCAGCTTTCTCACATTTGCACCTTAGCCAAGTCCATGACCTCGCCGAACAGAGGACAGTGAACGGTAAAGATTAGAGCTTTAGACCAATCGACCACCCAGATTTCCATTTTAAAAATTAAATTAATGGTATGGAAAATATATTTAGAATTTAATCGGTTTTAATATCCTGAAACTATTGCTTAAAAGTCCTATCTTTAACATGGCAGAAAACATAAGATCACTGGATAGATAAGAAAGAAGAAATGGAAGAAACGAAAGAACAACTGACAAACGAAGAAAATAAAAATAGAGATAAGAGCGGTGAAAGTAAAGAAGATGAGGGAAATGAATGAAGAGAGAACAAGAGAATACGAAGTCGAAATACAAATGTATATGTCCACTACACGGATGACGGTTTTCGTTGTTTTCTTGTCATATAGAACATATTGTCATCACAAGAACTAAAATAATGAAAGATATTAAAAAGATCAGTCTGAGTTCGAAGTGGTCGCCCAAATTCAAAGATATAATAGGAAGTAGGGAAATAAATACTGACAAAATTTTAAAAGTAATCTACATTAATTAATTGCAGAACAATAAAATTGACCTCTCACAACGACAGTTTCATTTCATTTAAACGGATTAATCAGATAAGAATACGAATCCATAGTAAGCTTAAACAAATAGAAATAGTATACTGAAATTTTCACTCGAATCCTAATTGTGTCACTTGGGCTCATAACGGTCTTTAGTTTACTTGTGGCAGTGTCTTTGCTTCGTTTTATTTTAATTTTTTGTGGGGTTGGGGGTGGTTGTCATCAGTTTTCTTTTCTCTTCTCATTTCTGTGTATTTTATTTGTTGATGCACATTCTTTAATATGTATTCTCTAGCTTCTTTGTCATGTTGGCAGGCCTCATGTGTCCTTATGACAAAATAACTTGTTTCTGATCTTACTTGTCTCTACTTGGCAGATTTAATAATTATTTGTTTTTTATTTCTTTATCTGTCGTTCGGGTATTCAGTCACAAAGTGGTTTCAGGAACTGAAATCCAGGATAAAGCAACGCTCAAACAGGAGGAAAACTTGTGTACTTTTTGTCATTCTAATTATACACCCAATAGATCTAGTGCCACGCTAGGAACCTATTTCATTCTTTTTATTTGTTTAATATAATTTCCGTAGCATTTCTTGTTGTAAGTCTCTATTGCATAGTTTCTGCTGATGTATACAATAAAATTGTATCCATGTAAGATAATATATACTCCAGCAGGAAGAAATATTTTTTGTCCGTACTAATCAATTTCATCAATTACATACAATATATGACAATATGCTAGCATGGTCTTAACATTCCTACCTACATATAAACGATCTCTCGCTCAAGGTAAAAGCACAAACTAACAAACAGTGACAAAATCATACTAAACAGACATTGCCTTATGCTAGATTTATCCCGTTGTCCTTGACGTTATCATGCAGAATATTTAATCAAAATACACCTTAGATTATGATTGACCGCTCCATTGGCCTAGTGGTTAGAGCATCAGCCTCGGATGCGTGAGGTCGCGGGTTCGAATCCCGACCGAGTCATACCAAAGACTTATGCCAAAGCTACGTTAAATATCCAAATCACACACACACACACACACACACACACACACTTTGTTACTATTCTAGGAAACGAATTTTAGAGACGCATACTGTGCACGTAGTATTTCTCTCTCAGAGAGCCCCTACTCCCAAAACGTTATATGTTAGCAGCATGTATGCATTTTTGTCAGCATCAATGTTTTTTAGTTTAAATTGATGACTTTTATATTCTGCCAAAACATATTTTGTCAGTGTAGCGGAGTCTCTGAGATAGGAATAACTCAATTAACAATAAACTATTACAGCCATATGCTTATTAGACAAAATGTTTTATTAAACAAATGAAATATTGTATATAATGTAATTATATCCAATCCGACATGTTTGATTTGATCTAACAAACAGACTTTGTAAAAGATTTAATTCAATCAAAGCAGCGTCTGGTTATCCTGGTATAAATCCTAATATAATAAGAGATTATGTTCAAAAAGTAGGCTATCATATATCGCGAAAATATGGGTCGATATGGTTATTCGCGACTGAAAATGATATGAAAATAGCGGGAATGGCAGATGATGTGATGAAATTTATTGATAACATGGTCGATATATTTTTGATAAGGATATTACTAAAGCTGCAAAAAATTAAACATCTACTTTTTATCATAATCTTTCCCGCATTTGCTGACTCGCATTGGCAGAATATGTTAACATACTATCAATAATACGGAACTCGCGTATTAAATCGTTTATATCATATTTCATACCACTCAAATAAGATCAAATTTGATCAAGTAATTTATTACAGGTCATACTTGCTGTTTTACAAGCATTTGTTTAGTCGCGAGTCGAGGCTCAGCTTTTTTACATGGTCGAGCAACACCGATACAATATATTATTAACACAAACTGATTTAATGACGCACCATTTGAAATTATACCAGAGCCGGTCATTAGCAGCGGTAAATATGATATCAGTTGATGTATTTTTGTTTAATATTTGTAACATATTTTGACGCACCCAATATTTTATGATAGTATCTGTAATTGCATTAGAGCGTCAATATCTTGTTTGGGAATGTTTTCCGAAATATGACTAAAATTGAATATATTTTTATTATTATAAAATATTTGTTTACATATTTTATACCGTCATTTAAGTAACTAATTCGGTAGTTTCATCTACAAATTCAATACACTACTAATAAGTCGCTGCGGTTAACTTTTTAATATATGATATCAGCATAAACGTTTCCTCAACATCTTTGTTTAACACTACAGATACAGTTCCAGAAAGATCATCGGTTGAATGTCGCCATAGAAATTTAGTACATATACTAAACTTTGCACTGCTAAACATGGACAGTATATACACACCAGTGATTTCTGTGGTGTGTTTAAGAGCGTTCTTTTCATGCGACAATGGTGCAGGCTGTGACGCGACTCTGTACACGATATTATTGGTTCTTCCGTCGTGAATTGTAACAAGATTTGTTGCTTGAACGATATTAGAAATGTCACTAATGACATCGTTAATTTTTGCATTAATGTCTGCGAGTTTAATATCAACATTTGGTGGAGTTCCAAAAAATTCGTTATTAATTCTGTTTAAATTTCTACGAACATTTAGAATTGTTTGTACATGATTACTATAATCAATTTAAAATACGGAAATTCTTTCATTGACTGTTGCTAACGAGGTCAATATTGGAATTTCCTTGTCGTCGACGTATTCTTTAGTTGCAGTGTCTAAATCCGTTTTGGGTGTTATGAAATTATTAAAACCGTTGTTGTTTTTCAAATTGAGAAATGAATGCAAGATACCACCGCTGGCTAATACGTACTTGGAATCATGATCATCGACGTATTGGTTATGTTGTTGCACCTGTATCTGCAGTTGAGTTTCCAAGATACGTACTTTTTTCCTGACATAATGATGTCACCAGTACATACATCGCCAGCTTTCTTAGCATAGTCGTTAACCGACTTACCGGAATCCTGTATTTTACATTCATCAGTAAAAGTAACGATCTTATTAATAACCGCGGTGGAAATTTGTGCAAGTACATCCGGCAGTTGTATGTTGCTCGTTTTTAATCGTCTTTATTTATCCTGAAAAATAACAACGTCATTTTGATCAACACTTGCGATATTTCATATATCAGTAATTTCACTTTTGAGCTGATCAAGAGTTGTGAATTTAGATAAGTCACCTTGTTGAGCAGACGACGAATCTCCTACTGATGTTCCAAATTTTGAATAAAAACTCATTATTTTTTATTACTGAAAAAGTATTTCGTGGAGTTAAACATGCGCTTATTTTAGATCGAGCAGAACAAAATTATTGTTTACTTCAATATGGTGGGGTTGATGTTCAATTTGTCATGCATAAACTAAATTAACTCCTTCTATCACTAAAATGGTGGAGTGAAATGAGATGCTGCAAAAACATACTAACAGATTTTATTCAGCATCATAAAATATATCAAACACAAGGTAAGAATACCATCGACTACACATGCCGAGATACAACAACGTCAAGTGAGCAACTTCCGCGTCAATTATTTTTTGTGATTCCAATTATCTCGACGTAGAAACGAACAAAAAAATAATGCGATATTTGCTAACGCTAATATTAGACGAATATATGCTAGAATAAATTCAAAACATTTAACGGAACGAGCGATAGAATGTAATTTTGCAGATAGCTATAAAAAGAACAACAAGCATTACTAGACCGTGCACGTATTTACTAGATTCAATGCAAAATTATCAAGATGCTGGAGATGGATTTAAGATATCATTAGAGGAATTTTGGACACTTTATCCAATATTTTATTTTGATGATAGTAAACATAGCGAACGAGCTGTAGACAGCACAGCAGATAGTGAGATTACTTGGACACTAGAAGAAATTTCTTGCTGCACCATTTTATGTATATGTCTTAGTGATAAGCGATAGATTTGTTACAATTGCTATCGGAGGTAAAATATCGGTACCGGATTAAAGTGATTTACACTTCAAGTTTAATCTGTAATTGTTATATATAATGACAAACTATATTGTAAACGAAATACATTTAACTGATGACTATGTTAGAAAACTAGCAGCTGCTGTTGCAAAACAGAAACAGATTTCATTAAAGGTCAACACTAGTGCTCAAACGGGTACTTTAACAAAATGGTTGTTAGCCAAAAATCATGGAAATAAATACGATCACAAAAAACTTTTTTTTACATTTAAGTACTGCACAAATAAATGCGAAATCAAAACAAGACGGCATATTCGGTCCGGCACTATCAGTAATAGCCAAAACAATTCTACCCAAAATGTTGCCATTACTTGGTACATTAGGACAAGCAGCAGCGTCTGGAGCTGTATCGGGCGCATCAGAAAAGGCAGGTAAAGGTAGTGGAATAAAGAAAATCTTCGCATAAATAGCAAATTTTTGTCTAAGGATTAAATATAATGCCTAAATGAAAAACGGTGCGAAAAGACACAACGACGAAAAAAAGGATAAGACAGCGACAAGGTAGATTTCTTCCAATAGCTCCATTACTAGCAGGATTAGCGGGAAGTCTATTTCCGGGTTTGTTAGGACAAGGAGGAGGGCTAACACTGCTCAGAACAAGGAGATAAGTCCCGTCCATCAAAATCCCTTGAGTTAAGTAATTTTACTATACTTGATCAACTACAAAATTAAAACATTTTCACAGAGTTTATTCCAAAGATGAGCTTATGACGCAGACATCGCCGCTAGGTTCGTGTGTGATAAATATACAAGATTTTAATGATGGATCTGGTTAGCTGTTTTTGATGACACTTATTTTCACTCTTTCGGAATTTCACCAAGTGACGCAGTAAAATAATATATGAGTAAAATCAAAATAATAAATTATTATTCTAATCAGAATCAGCCAATTGGAATTTCCACCTTAGTGTTTTTTGCCTTATATTCATTAAGCTGTTGACCAAAAATCCGGATTTTTTTAAAAATTCATTTTGAAGTTTGATTAACATCCAACTCCAGCTAAAGAACAGAAAACAAAGAATAACAGAATAATGCTGAAACATAGTGTGCAACTTGTGCAAAAAATAGTATGTTCTTACCAGCATCAGCAAAGCTGTACGGAAAATGTTTTTAAAAACTTCAGTAAAATTTCTTATTATTTTAGAGTTAAACCCCATCAATTTTATTCAAAATTATGATTTGTTTGCTTATTGTTTCATCTTGCCTAATCTTGCTTCATTTTGCATGAAAATAACAACAAATGATAAAATTTATATTGATAATCCCTGTGGATTTGAATCTCAAAAAAGCGAGATATATAACTAAAAAATCGCTAACAACAAGCAAAATGACATAACAAACGTCAGAAATGGACTTAAAAAAACAAGTAGATTTATGAAAAAGTTGTCAGTTATAAATCAGTAATGACGTGCAACTGTGACTGGGATAGAGATTTATGTCTCGAACAAAATAAAATCGTCACATATTGCCAGAAATGTAACAACAGAGAGATAATTGGAACGGGCATATATATATATATATATATATATATATATATATATATATATATATATATCTATATATATATATATATATATATATATATATATATATATATCTATATATATATATATATCTATATATATATCTATATATCTATTAATTGGCAAATTTCTGAAACCAAAAGCGGATGGTGGACATTGCCAGGCCATAAATATGCTGGTCCATGGAATCCTCTTGATGAGCAACTTTACGAAAATGATAATCCTCTGGCAGGACAAGACACTTATCATCAGGTTGACGCAATAGCAATGAGTCATGATATCTGCTACAGAGATATTGAATTTTCCAGGGCAAAACAAAACACAGCTGCGACAAAGTAATGTTAAACGAACTGCGTGAAGTGAAGGTTCAATCAGTTTTTGGAAGAAAAAAAACCCCATTATAAATACGTTATTGGAAATGCGGGAATACCGTTATTGTCGAGCGATT